CATGAGAGTTGGTCAAGATGTTGTGACATCTTTCTCAACATCAGCTAAGAACCATATTTTAAAAAAATTTATGTCAATCATAAAACCATGGATCTAACATAAAGCAACTCTTTAAATGGTGACCTCAGGGGTTTTGGTCAAACCCATTTTCTTACAAACAAGAAAAAAAACTACATAGGATAAAATACATAGATATGAGGGTAAAGACCCCTCACTATCTTGATTTCATATAAGCAAAAATTGGTAAAGAAATACCCCATCCCCTTACCTCGGAGTTTTGAAGGCTGATGGATTTTTTCCACTTTTCGTGTTACAATACCTAGTGAGAATTATTACAAAACAATGACACTTGCCTTTCCAAAAAATTTGCACCTCTAGAACTTTCTCTTAGAGTTTTGTGGGTGTTTGAAACCCACATCTTCATTACCAAGTTGCAGCAACATCTGGGTATTCCTCTTCCATTAGAGTTCCTGATAGAAGAGTGTATGCTATCACCCATTTTGAACGAAAAAGAGTTGGAGAAGAAGATAACCAACTTCAAGAATCAAAGAATACGAGATGGAGATGACGCATATGGAGCAGACGAAGAACAACTTACAATTTGGGGAGGACGAAGATGGAGAAAATGGATTAGCGCAAGGGGGTCTAGAATATAAAATCTTTTGTAATTTTATAAACTCATTTTAATGATGTGGCATCAATTAATCCATGTGTTAATGAAAATATATTAAAAATATAAAAAATACCATATTTCATGACACGTACGCATATGACATGTGCCAATTTCCTGCAAGGTCTAAACAAATAGAATCTTTGAATGACAAGGTTTTTTTGCAAAAAATAATTTGTAGCGGGTAAACCAAAACTCACCTATTTGGTAGAGGGTAAAATCCTATTAACCCTATTTTTCATGACATCAACAAAAATGTAGAGCAACTCTTCAAATGGTGACCTTAAGGGTTTTTGGCCAAACTCCTTTGGTTACAAACAAGAACAAAAACTACATAGGACAAAATACAGAGATAGGAGGGTAAGGACCCCTCACTATCCTGATTGCATATAAGCACCAATTGGTAAAGAAATTCTCCTCCCTTTACCTCAAAGTTTTAAAGGTTAATGGATTTCTTTCACTTTTATCACGATCGCTCCAACGAAGTTCTCTTCCCAAATCAGATCCGCCTCTTTTCCCAAATTCCAATTTTTCACGTAACTTCTCAGTTCTCTCACGTTAACTATATATGTAAACATAAAAGTCCCAATTAACTCTTACACTCCCCGCTTTTCTCTTCCCAAATCAGATCCGCCTCTTTTCTCAAATTCTAATTTTTCAGGTAACTTCTCAGTTCCCTCATGTTAATTATATATGTAAACCTAAAAGTCCCAACTAGATCTTACACCCCCCCCCCCCCCCCCACTCACACCCCCTTTATCATCTGATTAATTAAAAAATATTTTATTTTATTAAATAAAAATTTCACCAATAATCATTTAATAAAAATTTAAATTATAAATTAATTATAAAATATTCATTATATATATATATATATATATATATATATATATATATATATATATATATATATATATATATATATATATATATATATATATATATATATATATATATATATATATATATATATATATATATATATATATATATATATATATATATATATATATATATAATGAATATTTTATAATTAAAATATTTAATTATTTCTAATACCTTAAATAATTCTACTTTTTTCATCACTCTCAAATATTTCTATATTCCTATCATTAATTAAATTACTAAAATACCCCTGAAATCCCCCAAAACACATGAATAACTCAATAATCTTGAATAAACTAAATAATAGAAATAATTCAAACAAGACACACACATATATGCACTCAAATAAATCAATTAAAATAATTAAAGTAATTAGATAAAATCGGGGTGTTACATTTGCTGGTTGAAACCCATATGAAATTTGATTAACGTCAGTACACCTCCAATAATCCCCGAACGTCTGACGTAGTGGATCTCCCATTTCAGATTCTTCTTTCTGTTGTTATTCAGCTAACAGTGCTTCGACTTTTTATTTTTGCAACGCTCTTACAGTCTTCTCGATCTCCAAATCCAACGGTAGAAGCGTCGAATTTGAACCTCGCATGAACACAATAAACAATACCCCAGTAACATTGTTCAATGTAGAATAGAAGATGGGTTAAAAGTAAAATAACAACAATATTAAAATAAACTACAGAAAATAAATAAATTGCACACTATGCTTTGTTGAAAATATCAACAATCCCTGACAACGACGCCAAAAACTTGCTGATAATTTTACTAGCAATTGAACTAGCATCGTTATCGAAGTAATAAAAATTAAATTAGTCTCCATAGGGATTGTAAACTTTCAACAAGGAACATTGCGCTATGTAAATTAACAGTAAATTGGGGTGTTTTTCAGACTACTTTTGGTCGAAAGCTCAAGAAGAGTGGTTCAACAATAATGTGAAAGAAGGTTAGGTTTTATTATCTGAATCCCTTATTTATACTTAGACGGGTGAAACACACATTAATACACATACAATGAATGTCAAATAACACGACGAATTAATCCAACCATTACATCTAATCTCTTGGTGTGTAGCTCACTATTCTAAACGTCAATTCCCTGATCCCTCAAACCAATTCTGCGTTAGACTAGGCAACAAAGCACGTTAATCCCTAAGTCACAATTCCTAATCATACTCTCCCTAGTCAATTAGGAAACTCAATTGTTAAATTAGTTCAAATAAATAGCCCTAGGATCAGTAGTCACTACTATCAAGATCAATTTGAATGTCATAACAAACAAAAGGCAATGAACACAAGCATTAACTGAATAATAACAAGAATTAAATTGTAATAACATTAACATCAACTGATCATGTATTCCAATCAAGTACAAATAGGTTCGTCGTCCAATAAAACCTAACCTAATGAAAAATCTAGCTACTCATATTTAATTAAAACAATACAAATAGTGTAGATTCAAAGAACGTGAAAAGTCCCTGAAGAATAAGCTCTCCCATGACTTCAATGACCTCCAAAAGCTCTAAAATCACGCTTTACCGTCACTTTCTCGTATTGGAAATCAAACCCCTAAAAATTCCTAGTTTTTTCTTTTAAATAGAAAACAAACACGTGTCTGCGAAAAGCTGCAACGCGGGCGCTTGCCAAATCATTACTCCAACACGAACGCGGTGTGTGTTGGTTGTCGGCGCATTGTGTGAGTGTTAAATCTAGTGGCTTTCAGCGTGTTTTTGCTCTTTTTTTCACCAGTTTCTTCACTGTGTGCTTCTTCACTCAAAAGTACTCTTTCCAACTTTTTTCACTTAAATGCTTCTAACTTGTTCATATCTTATTAGAATTCGACGATTTTTCTTACTAAATGACGTGCACTGATAGCTCAACATCAATATATCATGTCTATTTTCTTAGGTTGAATTTCTTTCTCTTAAATTTGTATACAATGTTGAAGAAAATAAAAAGTTATCCAACCCTTTTCTTATATCATGAACATTTTCAAGTTTCAACACTTTGTTTCCCCACAAGCTACTCACAATTGTGACAATAATTCTCTTACCATTTAATAGAAAAGACAAAAATATCAATACTCATACATTATCGTTGCACTTTTTGTCATCAATAATATAAACGACCACCTCATCAAAAGAACATCATTTGAGACAAACGACTTTTCGTAGATACTATAAAGAGCTTTCATAAGATTCATTGTGGTTTTTTTGCTTGCAATGTTAAGAGTAATGTTACAAGACATCAATAACCAAATAAGACTAAGAGTTTGTATGTCGAGAAGTTTTTGGTCATCATCCTTCATATTTGTTTGTTCATTCTTGTAGAGATTGATTTGACTTTTTCATAATTGTCTTTGATGACAAACCAAAGTTCTGATACTAATTGTTAGAAAATACACATAATTATCTTATAGTCAAAGTCAAAAGTGACAAACTCGCACAATCTCTCACTACCAAAAATTCAATTACATCCCAAAAAAGTTTACCAACAATAAATTTCTCTAAATTTCTTAAGATTTCTGGTATGATTGTAAATTTTTTTCTCAAAATTGGAATGAATTTCTCTTAATCCATCATCGCTATTTATAGGTGAGTAAAAGTGATAGAGATTCCTTTGCTACATGAACAAAAAAAAAATCTTGGTGACCAAATCACATTCTTCATGACCAAGTTATCTTGCTAGCTAGCTAAGTTTTGACTTGCTTCTTACCTATGCTTTCCTTTTTTGTTGGCTGAGATTGCTCGGTGACTAAGTAAGATCAGCTACTAAGTGTACTAGTATAAATATAGCTATACATGTCATAGCATACTAGCAGAACATCGCCTAAATAACTAAACAGTTAATAATATAGATTTCTCTTTGGGCATAATAGAATTGGGCCAATTGTACCAATTGTTGTAGCATCAATGTAACAATGCCTCAACTTATATCTGTAGAAAAACTTTGTACTTCTTTGTTTGGTTTCACTTTTTCTTTTTAATGATTCTTTTATGAGATGTAATTTATTGCATTTCAGTCCATATATTATAATCTCCATAGAGACTAACTAATCACAAATGACATGATAACATTTTCCTTCCTTAAATTTTTTTAACAATGCCCAATTGAGCATATAAAAAGGTATGCAGTACTAGGTTCAAAGTTACTTGAGCCATGTTGAGGTAACTAACTAGTTACAATGGACAATATTACTAGGCAATAATTTCTGCCAACCTTACCAATCACACAACCAGTTAGATTTTGGTTGCTGTCAACTGAATATCCATTCTGAAAAACTCACAGAACCACCTCAAATTTAGAAGCTGAATGGCCATTGAATAATAATGATCTTAACTCTTTCCCTCTCCCATGTTGCTTCTCTATGTTGACATCTTTTTAAGCCCTCCCAAGTGAATAAAGAGACAAAGTGATTAAAGTTGGGACAAAATCACTCCCTCTTGTCTTCCTCTAGATCGTCAATAACTCCAAATACATGATGATGATCTACAAGTGATGTAAGTGATGCCTTTCTATCTTTTCTTTCTAGCATGGTAGCCATTTCTCCAGAGACCTTCACTCCACTTCCAACAACAGTGACAGCTTCGTCATCAAAGTCATCCCCTGTTTCTTCCGAGTATGAATACCTGCAAGAAAAGCCCTCTTAAAATGTCACTCTATGTCAGTGTAACAACAACAACAACAATAATCAAGTCTTATCCCACTAAGTGGGGTCCACTACATCAATCAAATTACCCCAATATGTCAGTGTAACAATCAAGTATAATCAGCTGATTTTCAATCTTGTTAGCTGCAAACATGGTTCTAGATTGTAGACTGCAATTGAAATTGCATCCACAATTTAACAAGTTTAAAAGTCTCCACAACAAACACATTTGAACAAAATTTACTGCAATATAAAGGATCATAGCATAACCGCAACCGCAACTGCAAATTAGAACTATGGCTACAAGTCCATATTTCAAAATGACCCTTCAAACATATGATCTGTGAAGCATGGGTAAGCCATTTTAGACAAAGTACCGGTACCGGGTACTGGAGTATATTGGTTGATTTTGGTTTGAGGTTTAACCTAGAATGTTCATGAAGTGATACATATCTTATACCTTTCCAATAGACATAAAAAACCAAGCTTATATGAATTTCAAAAACTATGTCAGAATAGTTTTTCAATGTTTACCATTCTGTTTTACATTTTTAGCTTCCAGAAGTGAACAGTAGTAAAGCTAGACTATACCTGGTTGGATTTCGAGATGGGACCCAGAGAATGCAGATCAGTATCAGGAGAGCATAAGAAAGCAGAGTCCAGAAAGCTGGGATCACCCAAGCTCTTCGCCACAGTTCACCTAAAGGGTCTGACGAATTGAAGTACAACTGAAACAAGAATAAATCAGTTCCTGAGATGAGACAATACAATAGTAGTTATTAGAATTAAAAATAAACCAAGATTATGAACAATACATTTCTCCTCGTTAATCAGGAGCAAATTTCATGGGAACAATTTGACAAGTTTGTCAAATTTAACTTGTTAACGGGAAATAAGGAAGAAAGAAATTGGTAAATAAACAAAAGACTACCTCATAACCAATCCATATTACTGATAGCAGAACTGTCACGGCAAGAGAATTTGTAAATTTCCTGTACAACTCAAGTTTTCCTGTACTTTTCCGAATCTGTACACATAATCAACAAATGGACACAACACAATCATTTTTAATTGACCACCAAGCTACCAAAATACAATTTTTTTTATTTAAGAGGGGAAATGTACAAGAATCTCCAAAAGAAAACAACGATCTTAGTTTGAACCTCTGTCCATTCCTCGGTTAGAGGTTTTTAATCCATACTAGGAGCACCATAATTTGTAAAAACACACAATATATTTCCTAAATGTACTTGGTGCTTGTTTAGATTGACTTATTTGAGCTTATCTACAAGCATGAGCTCTTGTGAGACTGTTACATAAGCTGTTTTCAATTGATTTTCATAAGCTCTCCAGGATAGCTAATGAAAACAACTCATACCTTATAAAAAACAGTTTGCATTCATTTTATCACTTGTTACAGAAGTAGTGTATACATAAACACTTATATGATAAGCACATATGTTATAAGAACTTAATTAATTAAGCTGTTTACTCAAACATGGTTTTATTTTTTCCTATGTACGCTATAATAATACTTTGGTAGGCATGTCACAATAAGAATTATAGTCAACACAAGCTAACAGGGGAGACGATATCCGAACATGAATGATAGCAAGGACCAGGACAATTATTGCATATTAAGTTACCTGAAGCTTCTCCAAGGTTTTAGATAAGGATGAAAAGATCCAAAGGATAAAGCAAGCATCCAACAGAGCCACAGGCAGCACCAGGAAAAGCCTTGCTTTTCCAGAGAAGTCATTAATATTGCCGAGATGTTCCACCAGCTCAAGTGCTTCTGATGCCACAAAATACACCACACCAAGAAGAAGGACTTTTGTGGTTAGACCACCAAGCGTTGGACGGACAACTCCATAACCCATAGAAACAACCAAAAGAAGAAGCCGCGAGACTGTCTTCTTGACAGCTGTGAAAGTCACGACCCAACCTGTAATTATCATCGGCCTGCTTCCTGTTGAATTGAAATTTGCATACTCAAAATACCACAAGGCCATTTCACACATGCCAAGGCCAATGACTGCAGTAATGTGGTAATGCAACTGGATAACATCTTTCCAATACCGTACAAACCAGAGAAACCAGACAAGACCGAGAAAAAGGTAAGCCAAAGACATCAAACCATAAAATGTCATCAATGGCGTCATCTTCCCGGGTAAATAACCATCTGGATTTCTCCAAACAGTTCTTCCAGAAATCACAGTGTCCTTTAGTTGAGGATCACAAAACATGAAATACAAATAATACATTCCAGTACTATTGATGTCAACAGTTTGAATAACCATATTAGTCTCTTCATTCTGTCCTTCAAAAAACGTCTGCAAGCGTTTTGGCCCATTCGGTTCATCGGTGTTCTCACGGATGATAACCTCTCCTAACTTACAAGAACCTTCTTTAGCAAGCTCTGGAGTGCAGCATATAGCATCAGAATTCAAAGAAACACCCCCAATGTTATTCCTATCTCTCACCCTAATTATTATAGCTTCAACCAACCCTGTCTTTTGCTGCATTGCACTTGCCATCTGAGCAGATTCTTTTGTTCTTCGAAAGTTTATAGACTCAAACCTGACATAAGCATTTGGCATATAAAAATTTAAAACTCTTAACAATGCCATGTTTCATCAACTTAAACTTACTGACAAAGAGTGTTTAGTTTTTGTAACAATGCGACATATACGCAGTGTTGTCGATGGCAGATGGTGGAGAGCCAAAATCCCGCAATACTGGCCGTAGCGGACTATGGAGAAAAAACCCGCAATATCGGCCGATATTTACCATGGCAGTGAGCCCAAAAACCGCATGGCGCCGCTATTTGATAACTCTACATACAGGGTGAGTTCTCCTCTTCCAACTAGATTTTCTCAATACAAGAGAAAAGCTTTAGACCAATGCTATGCTATTTCGAATTTGTTATCACTCGATGTTTTATCTAATAAATATGACACCCTCTCATCCAGATTAAATGTCACATTAGCAAAATAAAATTGTCCTGGATATGTTTGGATATTTTAAAATGAACGAAACGGATTGAAAAGGAGTGGATTGGAATGGACTGGAAAGGAGTGGAGTGGAACGGAGCGAACTAGAGATTCCATTCCATTGTTTGGATATTTTAAGAATGAACAAAGTCAATTTCTCATTCCGACCAAATCGAAGGGTAAGAAAATAGTGGTAAGTGATGGAATGAGATGAAATGCATTTTGTTCTAAACCTATCTACAACAATAGCTCTTTGTCTTCTCATTCCATCGTTTTCTCATTCCGCTCCATTACATTCTCTTTTTATCAATCCAAACGATGGAACATAACTTTATTCCATTTCATTCCACTTCATTCCATCATATTTCATCAATCCAAACATTATCTAAACATAGCCTAGTGCTACTTTCTTTTCTATCTCCAAATGAATATTACTTGCATCAGTCTCAAGTTCATTATACTCCATTATGCATTTATAAAACTACTAGACTCTTTAATTTATTACAACTTTATTAAAGCGTGAAATAACGTGACCTAAATTGGAACTTGAGATGACATTGAAATATGTGGTTGCATTCAATCACTTACCAAATTAGTACCAATAACATCAAGCGTATATTTAGCTCTATAAAATGACAATGCCAGTTGAGCAACAATAACATCAAGCGTATATTTAGCTCTATGGTGAAAAAAATTGATTTTGAGTTAATTGATTCTGTAAAATTGATTTCAATTAAAAGTGAGTTGAATTTAAAGTCATTTATTTATGTTTGGATAACTTTATGAAAAATTGACTCGAATAATAAAAATTACGTTTAAACTCAAAAACCACAAATTCTATCTTCAAGTAGAATCACTTCTACTTAAGAAGAACTAAACACCTCAAAATCAATTTGCACCTATAGAATTACCTAAGGAATTGCTTTTGGCTCTATACACTAAATTGAAATGCAAATGATAAACAAATCAAAATGTTCATGTCATCTTAAGCACTTACTCAATCAACATTTCACATTTACCAAAATTGGGGCATCCAATCCATATAACAAAAAAAAAAAAAAACTTTTTTAATCATACATAAAAAAGGTGACAAAAAATAATCAAAAGGTGGCAAGAAAAAACGAAACCCCAAATTCTCATCTGTCTTGAAACAAACAGATCAAATCAAAGATTGAAAACGGTTAAGACATAGGAAAAAAAAAAGTAGAAGCATTAGTAACAGTACCTGATGAAGGATTTACCAGTGGGGAAGTTATCTTGAGAAGACAAAGAGTTATTGAGGGAGATAGGTTTAGAAGCATAGAGACCTTCACTACCACCATGGAAGAAAAACGAATTAGCTCGACGGATGAAGGTTTCGTTTTGGTAGTCGTGAATGGAAGCACCGACGAGGTTGATGAATGAATGGAAAGTGAGGAAGAGGAAAACAATGCGGCAGTGAGCGTTTGAAGAGCGGGGGCTCCGGTATCTTCTCCGATCGCCGCCGTGATCGGTGTAAGCCATTTCGTCGCTGATCTGAATGATGGTAAAAAAAGTGAGTGAGAGAGTGAAAAGAATAGCGGAATTGATTTGCAGTGAGAATTTCTTTCTTGTCGTACGACAGTATACACGTGGCTTACTCAAATCAAAGCTTATAAAGAGTTTATTTTATTTATTGTTATGTATTGTACTATGTATTCACTTATATGTACTTTACTTATATTGCAAAGTGTATGCTAAGCATATTTTTGAGGTTAGGCACATTGAAAAAATTCTTTGTCAATTTGCAAGAATATAACTGCTCATGAAGGAAATGGTAACTCACAACATTGTCATGTGTTCATGTAATATGTTTCATGAAAAGTAGGAACTACATAATAGAGGAGTACATTCGTGATATTTACAAAATAATTCAAATATCAAGAGGTATGTAAATATGTTATTTATCTTTTTAATGGGTCTAATCTCTGATAGAGGACAAGTTATCCTGGTTGCAAATGAAAGGAAGGTAAAAAAAAAATAGGAATATTGAGCAAGGATAAATTGAAGGCTCTGATTGCAAAATGAGGAGGACTTGATTATATGTTAAATGCAGTAGGTGTTGTGAATGTATTTTCCTTTTAGATAGATGGAGAGTATGTGAATGCATTTGCCTCTCAGATAGATGTTTTGTATGATGTTAAAATTAGGTTTGTTTAGCTTTTATGTATATTGAATGCTATCTCTAAGTCATTGTGGGATCTAGAGGATCTAGAATCCATCTAAAACATGTTTGAAAAGGTTGTCAATAGTTATCATGCATTAAAAATCATTTTTTGTACAAAAATTAGTTGGATGTGTCGACACGTCCATACTATGCATCGACACGTATGAATAAATAAGAAAACATGTAGGCTTTGTAGTTGTTGTTGTATCCCAAAATTCGCCCTCTTCAGTCTAACCCTAATTGGCTTATTTTTCTCTAACATACTCATGCATACATATCATCGATTTCATGGTTATGGGATTAAAGCATTTATTCGTGTCAAGCTACAAAAAACAATTGTTCTGTCAGGCAGTACATCAAAGCAGAAACTCAGGGTTTTCGAGATTCAAGCGTATTCCACATATTTTTCCGAGCTATTCAATCAACAACTAATCAAGTCGTCACCATTCCAAGCTCTCATATGTTCCATCACGCTTTGAATTGCAGAGAAAGTCAAGTGTTCCAGTTGATTTGAGACAATGCAGACAGAAAATCAGTATTTTGCGGTTTGAGGTTAAATTTTTTAACTTCTGAATGGAAAAAGGTTTGAGAAGGGTTCTTTAGGCATTAGAACCGTCTTTTTATCTTCTCTGATTCATTTGTTCAGGTTTAAGGCTAATTTTGTAAGGAATATCTTCAAAAGTGAAAATACCTGAAATCATGTTATACAGTGGATTTGTTGGTCAATTGTTTGTTCGAATGTTCACAAATTCGTAGCTTCTGACCGAAAAATCATATTTGATTGATTCTTGGAGCATTTGAACCGGCTTGGTATTTTCTTTAGTTCATATGTTCGTGCTAGAAGCTGATTCGGTGAGGAAGACTTCCAAAAATACGAATTACTTAAAAATGGCGCGGTAAAACATTATGCTGATCCACTATTTTTCAGATGTTAAAAAATTCATAACTTTTCCTGGTTCGACGTTTTTGAATGGTTTTTGGGCATAAAATCCATATTGATGTTTTCCTCAATTCGTATGTTCGGGTCAGAAGTTAACTATTTGAGGAAGATCTCTAAAATTGTAAAAATACGGTGAAAAAAATCGCATGTTGAAGCGAATCTCTAGTCAATTGTCACGCAATATTGCAAAAATCACAACTTTCTCAATTTTCATCGTATTGAGACGATTCTTTCAGCATGGTGTCACAAATTGTGTTAGCTACAAGTTTTCTTCTGGTCCCGAGTTCGGATTGTGCTCGGAAGACTTCGGTTTATGGCTTGTTTCCAAAGTCGTACACCGAAATAAGCTGAAACATTTGCACAGAGGGCTTTCTATCTCAAGTTTCTCGCCATTGAAAAATTCATAACTTTCTCAACTTTTATCGTATCAGAGTGATTCTTTCGGCATGATGTCATAAATTTTGTCATTGACGTTTTTGTTGCAGGTAACGCGTCAGGATTATGCATCGAAAGTGATGACCTTGTGGGTTTTCTCGGACTGCACACAAAAATAAGTTGAAAAATATGCACATAGAGTTTTCTGTCAATTGTTTCTCGTCATTCAAAGAATCATAACTCAATCAATTTTTATCATATTAGAGTAATTCTTTCGGCATTGCGTCACAAATTTTGTCATCGACGATTTTGTTTCAGGTTCCGTGTCAGAATTATGTACCAAATGTCATGAGTTTTGGTTTGTTCTCGAGCCGTGCACTGGAATAAGTCGAAAATTCTGCATTTAGTCAAAAATACACTTGCCAAACAAGCCTTGGAGCCTTTTCTATATATTTTTGAAATTCAAATTGACCACAACTTTTTCTCTCACAATTCAAAAATCACATAAAGGAGTTATCTATTCTCTCTCAATTTCTCTCAAGAGTTTTCTCAAGAACACAAGAAAAATCAAGATCTTCATCTTCCTCAAGCCAACTGATCTCTTCTCTCTCTCTCTCTCTTCCTCCAAGCTTCATCGGCCATCCACCCAAGATCGACCGGTCTTCCACCCTTGCTCCTCCATTCGCTCCTCCGTCTTGGTCTCCCCTCCGTCGCGTCTCCTCCCGTGCACGCCACTCCCTCCGTCTTCGCAAGTTTCGGCCGCCTCCTTGCTTCGATCTTAATTTCTGGTGTCGGTTCGGTATTTCCTTGATCTTGTTTGATATAATTGCTTTACATTGAATTAAATTCTTGAATTGAATTGAATTATTAGAGTAGCATGAGTTGAATTGTGAATTAAAGAATTAAGTAATTCTTGAGTTTGTGAATTATGAATAAGCTTGAAATTGGTTGAGTTTTGTGTTCAATTGTCTGAATCTTGAATTTTGATGTGATGATTGTTAATTGGTTGTGGTTTACGCGAAGAAATTGATAATTGTTGGTTATTGTTGATGGTTATATGTCGAAATTGATATATGTTAATGATTGTTGAGTTCCACGCGTCACAATTTTATTCTAATTCTAAACTTTGTTCATGATTTGTTTAAAATCGTGTATGGAAACAAATTTTGAGGTGCTTATTTGTTTTCGACGCGTAAATAATTATCGTTTTAATTGGTTGGAAATTGTGATACCGATATCGGTTGAATGAACAAGATGTTTTTGTGAATTTCGGTAGAGTTTTCATGTGTCGATGTTTGGACTTTTTGCTTCAAAATGATGATTTCAAACTGATTTTTAACAAATATCGACACTTGATATAGTGCTGTCCTGAATTCACAATTGTGCCATAAACTTTGATTTAATTGGTGCACCTTGTATAATTGGTTTGCACTTGGTATTTTCTTGACATTTGTTGTGGTTTTGATTTATTTTAAACCAAATTTTGAAGCACCTCATGTACAAAAAAACATGATGTCCGAAATTTTTTCTCACATGTACATGATGCTTTAATTCTAATTTGACACATGTTTATCCATAATTGAGCGATTAATGAATATTGATGATGAGTTTTGTTGGTTTCGATGCAATTTTCCGATTAATTGCATGTTTATATGTGTGCTGCCCAGATTTGTAAGTAAGCCTTGAAGCTTATTTTTATTGGTTGGAACACAAGTGAACTTGCTTTGGTTTATATTTTACATATATGTGAAGATTGGTGGTTTTTAAACTGACTTTTTGTGCACTTCATGTGTTACAACAATGTTGTCTGGATATTCTAAATGCATGAACATTGTGATTCGATTATCATTTGATGTATACTTAATTGTATTTAAGCATTTGTTAGGAATCTATGATGAATCTTGTTGGTTTCGACTTGAGTTTTTGAGCCATTGCATGTATGAATGTGGTGCTGCCCGATTTTCTACTTCCATGTTCTGATACTCGTTCGGATGTTAGTTCTTCGCTTTTCGATCTTATTTTGAGTTACGGTATGATTTCTTGACTTTGTTTATTCTTTCTTGTTATCACTAACTCTTCTTGTGGACTTGTGCAAGCTTTGGAAAGGCGATTTCTTGCACCATGCGATTTACGGATTATGTAGTGCTCGTGTAGAATTGTTTTGTGCAGGGCAATTATCTTGATATGATGTGTTTTCCACATGCGATCTATTCTCACACGGCGATGTCTTGATTCTTATATTAGATACCTTTTATGAGTATTTCTCTTTTGATTGGTGAAGCTTGCATGAAGATCGTCGGGTTTATTTGCTTTGATTACGCTTTGCTATAGGCATTATTGTTCGTTTGGTATTGTTTTTTATGCTATTTTGATTTTGTATTGTATTTGTTGTACCCCAATTTTTGCTCCTAAGATTCCTCTATCATCTCATACCATCACAATGCAACCAGATCACAAACTAGGGTTTGAGGTTTTTCTCCTATTGCATCTTATCTTTAAGTTTGCTCTTGAGGAATCTCCAAGCACCTTAGTTGTATATTTTGTATATGTGTTGCTGACTAGCTTCTAATCAAAATAAAAAAAAATATTTGTCTTTGTCTTTGTATATTTGTGTTTTGTAGGTACAAAGTTAAAACATATGACAAATAAGGTTTTCCGGTATTATTTTCCTAAAATCTCTATTTGCAAAGAAAAATGATTAAAATAATTTCATTTTTTTCATTGTATAATTGATTGCTCATAGAGTACAATCGATTGCACAAAGTGTATTTTGCGCAATTTTTGAAAAAAAGAACAGGGTGCAATCGGTTGCTCCCAGAGTGCAATCGATTGCACAGAGTGAAACTTTGAAAAATCAGCAATTTCAAGCTTGTCAAATTTTGGCTCCAATTTTTCTTTATTTTTTGAAAGATGTATCATTAATTCAAATTTTGGATCCAATTTTTCTTCATTTTTTAAAAAATATATCATTAATTCAAATTTTGGCTCCAAGAATTAATTACC